AGTTTTGTAGATGTCTATTGGGTCTGCTTGGTCCAGAGCTGAGTTAAAATCCTGAATATCCTTGTTAATTTTCTGTCTTGTTGTTGTGTCTAATATTTACAGTGGGTATTAAAGTCTCCCACCATTATTATGTGAGAGTCTAAATCTCTTTGTAGGTTGGTAAGAACTGGCTATATGAATCTGTGTGCTCCTGTATTGGGTGCATATATATTTAGGATAGGTAGCTCTTCTTGTTGCATTGATCTTTTTGCCATTATGTAATGTCCTTTTTGTTTTTTTTTAATTTTTTGTTGGTTTAAAGTCTGTTTTTTACAATTAGTATTTTTGTTTCACCTGTATGGTCCATTTTCCTATTTTCTTGTTTTTTTTTTTTGAATAATTTTTCAATTCTAGTTTTTCCTTATGTTAACTTGTTAAGTATGCGCTCATTTACAATACAGCAAATACTCTCAGCTTATCATTACCTAGTAAAAAATGCTAATTTTACTGCTTTCCTAAAACTTTTGGATCTTTTAATTACATTTGCCCTACTTTTTTGGCATATGTTTTTCATGCTTGCCAATTATATATGCGTCTTATACTCTACAATATATACACCTGTTGTTTGTGCAACCCATGTTAATTTATATTTATTCTTTATTTGTGCTTCCCAGTGTTCATATCTTAAATATCCTCATATTTCTATCTATTGTTGCAGTCCTCCTATCAGAACTATCTTTTGCATTTCTTTAATACAGTAGTACTGATAACTATCTGTCTGTTCTTTTTTCCAAGTATATTTCCTCCTGCTCTATTATTTTTTCCTCTCTTTGGGACTTCAAATATTTGTAGATTAATTATTGAAAAAAAAAATGATTATTATTTGAGACAGGGTCTCACTCAGCCACCCAGGCTGGAGTGCAGTGGTGCAATCTTGGTTCACTGCAACTTCTGCCTCTTGGGTTCAAGCAATTCTCCTGCCTCAGCCTCCTGAGTAGCTGGGACTACAGGTTCAGCCACCAAGCCTGGCTAATATTCGCATTTTTAGTAGAGACAGAGTTTTACTATGTTGGCCAGGCTACTCTTGAGCTTCTGATCTCAAATGATCCGCCCTCCTTGGCCTTCCAAAGTGTTAGTATTACAGGCTTGAGCCGCCACACCTGGCCAAGATAATGATTTTTTAATCAAAAGAATTAAGTTTTCTTTTTGTGCTCATGTTCTCTATACAGATTTATGCTGTATATTGTCATTGAAATTTTGATTGCACTCACCATGGAGTGTCTTACTTTGGAAAAGGCAGTGTCTCAAATACAGTTTATTTTCTTTACCAGAAGGAGATTATTTTGTTGTTAATTCAAACCTTCATTTACTTTAGTATAACATAATACCATAAATGACGTGTGCTGTTATTAAATCACAAATAGTATTAGAAGTGAGGGGCCAAGGAAGGAGAATGGCTTGATCTCAGGGGTTTGACGCCAGCTTGAGTGACATAGTGAGACCTCTCTTAAAAAAAAAAAAGAGCCGGGCACGGTGGCTCAAGCCTGTAATCCCAGC